CGCATACAAAATAGTTTCCCATTGGTCAGGCTATGTCAGGACATGGACTACCCTGAAATGACCCACACTATGTGTTGTCAGCCCTGTATCGAGCCGAAATGCACTGTATAGTGTGTCAGGGTTCATGTTAGGATGAACAATCTATTTCTGTGTCCGTCTATACCACAGTTGAGTGTGAACTATTACCGTTATATTTTTTAAGTTACTACGTGTTTGCGTTTGTCCCACCCAAAAAAAGGCAATTTTTTTATGCTTTTATAAGAGTCATTTCTTCATGATTTGAAAGGATCGATGGTCACGTCCAAAGAATAACAACACGCCCTCAACACGAAACTGGTCATACGTAGGACTCTCCTCAAAAGGAGTGAAACTTTATTGGTTGAATACTACATCGTTATTTATTTCCATAAGATATTTTGAATACATGCATGCAATGTAATTTACATCCCTTTGACAATCCACTTCCACATTGGTTGTGGGATTCTTTGAGAAGGGAAGAAGCCAAAGATTGGTGCAGATCTCTCCAATTCACCACTGACGTTAGCCACTGCTGGGACTCAAACCTAGGAGATGGGTTCAGCGCGCAGTGCGCAAATGACTCCTCACTCTATCAGGAGTCATTTGCGAAAGTAACATTGCCGCGCGGGGTGACGTCGCTATCTACCTGCAATGCCGGCGAGTTTCCAGGGGCAACGGCCTCGGGGCTGAGGCAGCACACGCAATCGCCGGTGTGCCGTGGAGCCGTCTCGTGCACCGCCTCGCCCTCGCAATGCGGCGAGACAGGACCGGGAGGGCCACATCATAAAGGGGGCCCATGCCCCCGCAACAATGGAAGGGGAGGGGGTGGGGAAGGGCTCATGGGAAGGCTCACGCCCCAATTCCCACCCCCCAATACAATGGCGGGGCCGCCCCACACCACAAGGTGGGGACCCTTCGCACTACACAGGGAGCCCAGCCCGCACCCCAGTGGGGATCCCACCCCATGTAACAAGGGCGCATCCATCCTGCTGCGACACACCCCAAAGGAGGGAACCACATCTTTGGCTCGTTCAAATCCATCCCCGTCACCTCGCCATACACCGCAGGATAGCGAGCCGCCGCCTGGTCAGTGGCCAGACTCAGCCACATAATGGAAGAAGCTGGCAAGGTGGGTGGTAGCGGCCGCGTCGGGAACCTCGGTCCTGGTCGGTGCAATCACGAGAGTGTCGGCACGCATCCTGGTTGACACGGGGGCATCGGCCACGATCATCTCGAGCACCATGCACGAGATGCTGCCGGATAAAAATCGCCCTTTAGTCCCCATCAAGACGACGTTTGTCGCGGCAATTGGAGGGAGTATGGGCTTCCTGGGCCAGGTTGAAGCCCCGATACAGATTGGGCAGCTTTCAGTAGCAGAACCCATCCTTGTCTCTGCAACACTGCCCATGCCCTGCCTGTTGGGGACGGACTTTCTGAGGCAAATGCCTATAAAAATCAATCTGGCCAATGGGCGGGTGGAAGTCCAGGGAACACATCTCCAATTCCTGAAGGCGGAGGGGGCCGGCCGGGCGGGGTACCGTATGTGCAGGCTCTGGTCAGTGAGTCTGTCTCCATTCCCCCGGCAGCCCAGATGCTGATACCGCTGCGATATCGGTCCTCCCTCGTGACAGCCTGGCCGGACTCACTCTCCGGCGTCAGCCGCCACGGATCGCCACGCACTGGTGGGGGCCGAAACTATTGTCCAGGAGAACCAGCATCTGTTAATTCAAGTGCTGAACACCTCGAACAAAGCAGTGACGGTGCAGGTGGGAACGGTTCTGGCCCACGTTAATCTCTTGTCACTAGGAGTCCCCCGGATGGGGTAAGAGCTTGTAGGAAGTGTCAGTGCGAGGACAGAGGAGACGACTCGTGGATGGACCAGTTGGCGGGGCCTGAGCCGGATTTGCCGCCCAATCAGAAGCACCAGCTGCACTCATTACTGCAAGAGTTCTCCAACGTGTTCAGCCAGGGACCATTCGACATGGGGGACACCGCACTCCTGTGCCAAAACACATATAGAATGAGCTCAATGGGAAAAGGGCACATTCAACAAGCGGTGCAGGAAATGCTGCGGACCGACATAATTTCCCCATCCTCAAGTCCCTGGGGGGCACCGGTGGTCCTAGTCAAGAAGTCAGATGAGTCACTGAAATTCTGCGTGGATTTCCGCTGCCTCAATGCCATCACGCTTGCCGACGTATATCCCCTACCACGTATTGACGACTAACTTGATGCACTGACAGGAGCAAAAATGTTCAGTACGCTGGATTTATTGTCCGGTTTCTGGCAGGTCCCACTGGACGCGGACTCCGGGACAAAAACAGCGTTCCGGAGACCGCAGGGCCTGTTCGGGTTCAAACTGCCTGCCTATGGGCCTCCAGACCCCACCAGCAACGTTCCAGCACTTAATGGAGTTGGCCTTAGCAGGCGTCTAATGGGATACGTGCCTAATCTACCTGGACGACGTCATTGTCTTCAGCCGATCAATCCATGAAAACGTCGGCTGATTGTGTCAGGTATTCCTGGGGTTCCGGAACGCGAACTTGAAGCTCAAGCCATCGAAATGCCACCTCATGCGGTCATCGATAAGCTACTTGGGCCACGTCGTCAGTGAGTCTGGAGTGGCTACAGACCCGGAAAAGATGGCCTGAGCTGTTCCTACGACAGTTCCAGAGGTATGCAGGTTTGTGGGCTTCGTGTCCTACTACCGCCAGTTCGTACCCAACTTTGCAACCATTGCGAAGCCCTTGCATGTGTTGACGGTGAAGAACCAGAGTTTTTATTGGGGACCCCTGGAGGAGGAGAAAATCTAGCAGCTGCGCTCGTGTCTGTTCTGATGCACCACCATTGGCCATTCCGGATTTTGGCCTCCCCTTTATCCTGGACATGAATGCCAGCGAAATAGGCATCGCCAGCGTTTTGTCACAAATCCAGCAGGATCGGGAGGTGGTTATTGCCTATGGCAGTCGCGTGCTGTCATCAGCAGAGCAGCAGTACTGCATTACACGTAAGGAGTTCTTGGTGTTCGTCCACTTCGTGCAGCAATTTCGACCCTATCTGTATGGTCGCAAATTTACGGTCCGCACTGACCACATGGCCTTGCAGTATTCACTCCGCATCGACCAGCCTTTGGGCCAGCTGGCCAGGTAGATAGAGTGCCTGCAAGAGTACAGGTACCAGGTGGTGCATCGCAAGGGGACAAGACACGCCAACGCAGATACATTGTCCCGGATGGTGCCCCAGGGCCCTTATGCATGCACCACAGGCGCACACGCTGCAAGGAGGCGATGCCGGAGGGAACGGTCATTGCTCCAGTACACACGGCAGAGGACGCACAGGGTGAGGTCCAGCTGACCGACCATGACCTGGGGCTATTCTTGCCGGTTGGAGATGTCTACAGCAGGAGGAGGCTCCCCTGCGAGTGCTACATGCCTCAGCGTAGGTAGGGGGAGAAGGAGTATGTCATATGGGAGGACCTCCACATGCGATTAGACCAAGCGAGATGCCAGTGATGCCTGGTGGTTCCGGAGTCGCTGTGTCGACAATTGGTAATGGACGTGCACTGCTGCCAGCTGCTACACCTGGCTGGGTGGAAGACACTGTCCACATTGCAGGGTCGGTACTTCTGGCCATGCATGACCGCTGACGTGCACCGATGGGTCGCAACCTGCGTCGAATGCGCGCGGCGGAAGCCACCACCCTGGGTAACCCGGGGACCCCTGCAGCCTATCACGGTGACCAGGATCAACGAATTGGTCGCGTTGGACATTCTAGGACTGCTGCCGGTCACGCCACAGGGAAATGAATACCTGTTGGTTGGAGTCGAGTACTGCACGAGGTGGCCGATGGCGTGGGCCCTCCCGGACCAAACGGCACAGACCATTGCCGATGCCTTCGTAGGGGGCTATGTTCTTGATAAGGGGGCACTGGAGCGGTTGCTCACGGATCAAGGCAGAAATTTCTCCTCGCAGCTACTAAAGGACGTCTGCTCTATCCTGGGCACTAAAAAGTTTGAACATCTCCGTATCATCCCTAGACCGATGGGATGGTCGAGCGGCTTAACCGCAACATAGCGGCCATGCTGTCCCACGTGGTGGACGAGAACCACTCCGATTGGGACCTCCACATCCCATCGGTCTTAGTGGCATACAGGGTGGCCCCACACGCAGCGACGGGGTTCTCGACGAGATCCCGTTCCGCCTATTAAGGTGCAGCTGACGGACATTCCCGCGAGAGCCGTTGCATGGCCAAAGGCACTAAAGGCCTCCCTCATTTACTTGAGGGAAGCCCGCCAAGCAGCCGAGGCCGCATTGGCCACCTGCCAATGGAGCAATGTACAGATACGCGAGAGGACAGTGACAGCCAAGCCCTTTAAAGTCAGGGACCAGGCATGGCGACACTGTCCTCAGGTGCCGGTCGGCCTCTCACCGAAATTGCACCAACCCTGGTCCTTAAAGCACTCCAACCTCAGTGCGTCCAGATCCAACTGGGTAAGCGATGATGGTTTGGGCACCCCACCCGCCTTGAGCCATATATCTCTCCACCTCCATCACCGCCATCATCACCGCCATTGTCACCGCCATCATCATCACCCCTACCCGGGCCGAGGTCGCTGGCCACCACTCGCTGACCTGTGTTCCCTTGTCACCTACAGCACCCCATGTGAGGCCTGACGGAGAGGCGGCACGACCAGGGGTCGCAGGGGCTGGAGAGACTGCAGTGTCGGACAAGGCGACACTGGCACCACCGAACCGGGGACCGCGACAAGAGAGCCTCCCGAGGGAGGGAGCCGCCGCAGTCATCTGCAGCTTGTGGATGTCCGGGCAGTTATGGGGCTCTGTCTGGAGACCCGGGCAGACCGTTCAATTGATGTTGTTGTTGTGTTACATTGAATTGTATGAATGCAGGGGGGGTTAAGGGCTGTTGTCACTGTAAGTGGGGGCGGGGGGGCTCATGTGGAGACTGAAATGGTCGATGGGGTAGGCAAAACCGAGGATGTTTTTTTCTCGGGGGGGGGGGAATGTAAGGGATTTCAGGGGAAGGATTCCCACCAAAAGGAGGGGGACAGTGGAGCGGGGACAGTGGAAGGGGGAGGAGCAGGCGAGGAGATATAAGAGAGAGAACTGGCGGGAAAGGGGAAGAACTAGCGGGAAATTAACAGAGAAGGCTGGGAACGAGTGTGGACTGGGGGAAGCAATAAAAGACGAACCCCCTGCAACTTGGTGTCGGCTCTCCTTTACACTCTTAAAATCATGTTTCTAAATTTGGAGGGAAAAACAGGAGAACCCGGAGAAAAATCCACGTGACCACAGGGATAACATGCAAACTCCAAATATACAGGCATCGGGGTCGGGATTAAACCCACAACCTCCTGTATGCCAGGCGAGGTAATTAACATCTCGCCACCATGGCGCTCCTCACCTGATGTACCGATGTCGCCCAGAAAGCACTTTTATATTAACGTTGAGGCTAGTAAACCACTTTCACGTTAAAGTTATAGGCTTTCACGTCGAGCTTAACCTGACACAGACTCAGCGAGTCCATCCTCCCAGGGATGACGATGAAGACGTATCGGCCCAACTGTGATTGGCACGGGTAGCGCACCGATTGGCCCGGAGTCACGAAGATGTCGCCTGCGCACCTGGAAGACAGCGCAGCGGTGCGACCGCGATCAGAGCAACGCGCAACCCAGGAGCACACAGCCCGAGTGGACACGTGGCAGCAAGACGCTTCAGAATTCGTCAAAAGCCGCAGTTTTGTCTCCACTCCGAAAAGCATTTGAATCTTAAAAATTCTGAAGCAATGCTTTGTGGCAACTCTCATACACAAAAACCTCTAAGTGCTCACATTTAAACAAGGTACATGGCACATTCAGCAGTGGAAATTCTATTTTTTAAATAACCTATGGGGACTTGTACCCCCTCCCTCTCCTCCCCCCAGTAATGGCTGAAGGAACAATCAAGTTCACATGAAAGAGGTACTTACGAAATATTCTACGAGTCATCATAGCTTCCTTGCATCGACAGGTGACAGCTGAGGGAAAGGGTTCACACTTACTGGGTGTTTAATGCCCCAGCATCTCAAAAGTGCCTCACATCATTTCACATCTCAAACATTCCAATGCTCGGCTGTAGTTGCATATATCTCTAGCCTGGGGGGCAGCTGACCTCCAAAATCCCATCCCACTGCTGGAAGTTTTACACTTGGTGCGGATGTGGGAACCCTCCCTCCCATACTGAATGGTACCTTCCTTGGGGCACCCCGATTTGCTGTGTCCTGGGATCTCCACTGGTTAGAGGCTTGTGTCGGGAAACCTGCCCAATATTACACTGACTCACTACGAGTTGCCAGCCCTCAGAAACCAAGCAGGTTTAAAGTTTGGTTCGTACTTGGAATGGATGAGATCACCACACATGGCCAGTTTAAACAGATGTTGGGTCATGAGGGGACCAGGAGATGGTAATGTTGAGTATCACCTCGAATGTGTGGGTTTTCTCCAGGTACTACCCAAATACCAAAATACTCATTCATGGAAATGGATAAACTTCCCAATATAGGACGCTTCTGAAATATTTGGGTGACCAGGCGAGGCTTTGCTGGGTAAATAATCGGTATTGTTGTTGTTACTTACAATGCATTCTCGCTGTGATTGGGCGAATCTCCCACTTTAATGTGCGCTCCAAAGATACGAATGCCCTCTGCGTCGTCTCGATTGGTGATGCTGACGGCATCCACCATGTACACGCGGTCAAGCTCGATGCAGAACCAGGGCTCCCACTCGTAGCTGGTGGCGCTGCACATCCCACTGCAGAAGTTGGTGCCGTTTGTACCGTCGATGGCTTTGGACGCGTTGTGGTCAGGCCCGGCTGTGCTCGACTGCATCGCCTCCCCGTACACCACGATCACTGGTCAAATACAATTTTCATGACAAGGACTCAGTGGCGGCTCATGACTCCAGGTGGATTTTTCTCCGGGTTCTCCAGGTTGAGGTGGCTACATATTCTGTTTTCGAAATCTCAGGCCTCACGTATGCAGGTAGATTTGTTGAGTGACCGGAATGCAATGGCCGAGGTGGCCTCGTCAGAGCTCTCTCGACCGGATGGACACTCTGCAGCCCGTGCAGCTTACCCAGCAGAACCGTTCTGGTGGGAGCGCGGTATTCATTGATTCATCATTATCTCACATTTCCCACACATTCCGGTTTTAATAAATCGACCTGCATGCATCGCCTGAGACTGTACAAGGTTATGCGGACTTTGTTGCATCCTCAACAGTGGGAACTGCAATACCCTGGTGTCTACAAACTAAGTTTTGTCTGCGGCAGCAGTTACATTGGGGAAATGAAACGACATGTCTCGGACCGTGTTCGCGAACACAAGGCAGATTTGAAACACGGCAGAACCAATATACCTCTGCTGTAGCTGATCACTGTTTTAACGCGGTAGGCTCACATGATATTGTTTTTTTCCGAGACCAAGGCACTCTGCAAACCTTCGGGTTACGATCAAAGGTCTGTCCATGAAGCCATCCAAATATATATAAAACAGACACAATTTCAACCGAGAAGACAGGTACAGACTGAGCAATCATTGGAAGGACGTTATTAACCAGGTAAAGTTTTAACTGGCTGTGATGTTTCCTTCCTACCTGCCGAGTTTTAGCAGTCATTTCCGACTCTCTGAGTTGCATTGGCAGGTTGCATGTCTTTACATTGGCGTGCTGGATGTCTCACCAGCACGGCCGCCGCTGCTACTTTCCCTCGATGTGGCGGAGACGCTCGTGTTGTGGTGGACTGTGACTTGCTGTGGTGTTTCTGTGTCTCTCACGATCACCTGTGTTGCGGTCGGTGCACTTCTCTCTCTTCCGCGCGTCTGTGCGGGTTTCTGGCCCCCCACCCTCTTGCCCGGTGCGGCGGCAGCTCCCCCCTCCCCCCTCCCGGGTCTGTGCAGTACCTTGTCGGGGAACATCTCCCTCTCGCGCTCGTTCTCTGGCCCCGCCCTCTTGCCGATCCGGCGGCCCCCCTGCCCCCCTCCCGGGTCTATAAATAGTGCCGTGTCTCGCAGCCGGCTTTCTCACCTGATGCTGATTGCTTGCGTTGCGATCGAAACGTCGTGATCTATTATTTTGTCTACCTACGTGACTTTACCGAAAGAACCAAAGAGTATGGATTCCTGCAGTCACGAAAGCTTCAAATCAAGAAGATCGTTGATAAAGATCCTAATTAGATTTTAATTGTGTGAAACAAGTCTTCACGGGAAAAAAAATCTTTATTTGTAGAGCTCGTGGTGAGCAGTGCAAGATCGCGATCGATTGCGAGAGTGGCCCCGATAGATGGTGCTCCTGAATGACTTCTAAAGTCACCACTATGTCCTGCAAAGTGTTCATTGCATGACAAAACTCACATCAACAGTTCAGGGACCTGGAATACATATAGTTATCCACAATCTAAATTTAATATAAGACTTTTGGTGCAGTCATCGGTGATCAGGCTGAGACCAACAGCTCACCACACTTCCGATCTTGGTTTAATCTCATGAAAGCTTAAAATTCGAACCCAGTATCCCAACAGCTCATGGCTATGACCTGCCCGTCATGAATCGCTCGATTGCTAAGACTTCACTCAACACCTTGGCTTCATCTGTGGACTTGGGATTTCATCAGTACTGGCTCAATGTTCAGTGCTTAATGCAAAGCTGTGTCGATTTAACACGGTTAATACAGGAATGATAAAAGGTTACGGAAAAACAACCGCCTGTTCAGGTTGGTATGGAGGAATAAACTCCAAAGAATTGCGTCACGTACTTTCATTTTCCAAGAGGGGAGCAGTGGAGACTTGCACCTCGCATAAACTCAACCACGCAGGGCTCGAGGAGTTGATGAAGATGTAGCGTCCCTTCACTCCTTTACAGTTAAATGTCACCACGGTGTTTGGGGCAGCCTCCTCCAGAGTTTTGCACCTGCAACAAATATAGAACCGTTGTGATTACGAACATCAAATTCTGGCTATGCACTTCATCTGCAACACAGCAGTTCGATGCTTACTTAGACATTTAGTGATTTTGTTGTTCCGGTGTCACCTTGTCCTGGTAAAATTCAGCGGGAAGATACTGGGAAAAATATGCGATCCACAGACGAAGCATGAAAAGTTCAAAATCCTGATCAGGAGTCAATTTGATCCATTATCCCTCTGGAGCCAATAAAATAGGCTCTACTATATTCTTGGTTCTTTCGGTAAAGTCACGTTGAAGGGAAGCAATAAAATAATAAAATATATATAAAACAATAAAATTCTCACGACGTTTCGACTGCAACACAAGAAGTCATCATCAGGTTTTTCCCGTTGGTTTTCACACCTGATGATGACTGCTTGTGTTGCAGTCGAAACGTCGTGAGAATTTTATTGTTTTATATATATTTTATAATTTTATTGTTTCCCTTCAACGTGACTTTACCGAAAGAACCAAGAATATGAATCAATGCAGTCACGAAAGCTTTAAATCAGTGTTTATCCTATAGGAATATTGACCCCTACATGGGCAATGTAGAATTGGCGCCACAGATGATGAGTGCCACTCCAGTTGTGGCCCTGAGTACATTTCTATTTTGAACCAGGAACTATCTGAGATTTCAGCCATAGTATTGTGGTACGATACAGGAACACAATGGCCTACTCTTGTCACAGAGTCACTGATGGTGATTATTGCAGACAGCGCACTTTTGTACATCCCCACAGAGGAGAACTGTGTTCCGCACGTGCTGTCGTGAGGCTCCTATGAGGCCCCCACGAGTCCACCCACACGTGACCTTGCCTCAGTTCAGGGCATGACCAAATATTTGTGATGGCTTTTTTGCACAGTCATTGGTGACCAGACGAGAGACCATAATATCATAATATGCACTCCACATGAGATTGTGTGTGTTCGTTGAAAGGCTGGTATTCTAACCCGAAATTTCCAGGTTTTTGGCTCAGAATTCTCACTGGGAATTGGATTGGCCTCCTGTATTTCTCAGGAAATCAGCCAATCTTCTGTCGCAATACTCAGATCAAGAGGTCATCATGGACATGTCGTTGATGCCACTACAGCTCATCATTGCTTCCTGCTATAACACCCCAAAACAATTGCGCAGTCAACACCCAACCTCTGAGGACTGCTCTTACAGGATTGGCCTCCTGTATTTCTCAGGAAATCAGCCAATCTTCTGTCGCAATACTCAGATCAAGAGGTCATCATGGACATGTCGTTGATGCCACTACAGCTCATCATTGCTTCCTGCTATAACACCCCAAAACAATTGCGCAGTCAACACCCAACCTCTGAGGACTGCTCTTACAGTCTCTATCACCATCATCTGACGTTACGTCTTCCCAAATAGTTCCCACGCTCTGGGTGTCTCCAGTGCTTGTTTCATTCACCTGTCCTTCCCAATCTTGCACATATGAATCATTTGGCGGGACCCCGGGGTCCCGCAAAAATCAGGTCAATAATTATTATTGTTGTTCAGTCCGCCCACTCGTGATCCCGACAGCAACGCGCCGCCCGCCCAGACTCGCGTCAACAAGCGCCAGCAGGCGGCGATCGACACGATGGGCGCCACCCCCACCGGCCAAACGCAAGCCCCGGGGGGCGTCTGCCGTAGTCGCGAGCGGCGACGATGCCGCCCTCCGGTCAGCCGTCGATCCTCAGCTTCTTTGCCAAGGCGAGCCCACCCCCCCCCACCCCCCACCCCCCAGGCAGTGAATTTAACGTGTTTATGTAATTTTTCAACTTTTTACGAAACGTAGTGTCTCCGAGTAGCTCTCGACGAGGCCAATCGATTGACCACTAGTTTTGTCGTCGGTAAGTCAACAATACTCGTGTCGCTACGCGGTTTTTCCCATCCCGGGGCAGTGATGGGACCCCAGGGTCCCGCCAATTGCTTCATATGCTCCATCACAACCACCTCTCCCTGATTACAACTATTACACTCTCCTTCCGTGTTCTATTTGGAACTTACATGTTGTTTATCTCATCCTGCCATAAACATCCGTGCATCTTCTATATGCAACTGTACTCTAAGGCCAGAAGCCTTTTTCTAGTAGATTTGTTAAGGGTTCAGTAGCACGTGGTCAGCTAATGTTTTTGGTAAGGGCCTTTTTCTAACCACTGAACATGGACCACTGCTCAAATGGTTAGCATACTCTATATTTTGGTGTAATAATCCAGTCCTAACGATGGTGGTGAGGTTTGTGTGGACTGTTATGAATGCCGAGAATGTTGAATGAGAGGAACAACAGGCAATGTTCATGTTCCAAATGTGAAATACTTGCATCGTATTACTGATTGTGGTGTTTGAAGATCGTCCAATGTAGATTTTATGCAATCCGATGTGGTCTCCCCAATTGTCACTCCGGAACGTTATGGTGACTGCGTGGACAGGGACCTCCTTCTTCATGTCCAGTTTCCACCAACTTTGATCAGAACCACCCTTCGAGCTCGCGCATGACTTGCTCCTGGTGTAGTCCATGTCCGTGTTCCCGTCAATGGCGAGGAAAGCAATTGCGCAAAAATTACTCTCGTCACAAAAGGTGCTGAACTGCGTCGCTTCACCGTGTATGGCCACGTTTGTGCCTAGAAGGTGAAGAAGAGAGACAGAGAGAGAGCACCTGTGCTCATCATCTGCAGTTTGTAGGAGAACGAGTGATATGTAGAGCGGTGCCCTGCCGCTCTACATATCACTCAACAATTTAACCATAGGCCACACCCAATGCAGTGTAACCAAACGCAGTATAACTATCGTTTTCAATGAATATTCACTTATGCGACCTTATTACAACGTTGGCCTAATGCCTCCAACCGCGAGTCGGACACGTGATGTTGTGCTGTCTATTATAGCGACGACGAGAAGTGAAGTATGTTTAATCAGGGTTTCTAAGTTATATCGCACATAAACAACTTAAGTCTTTTATTTATCCAATTGAAAGGGAGTTCACACGACCGAGGTCTTCCCGTAAGTCTTTATTATCTTCTTCACACCGTTAACACCACGACACACCCACAGCAAGCCTCGTCTATATTAGAGGGGTTTTTGGGTTAGATCGCGTAAATATATAAATGTGTCATATTCTCAGCTCTTTCGGTAAAGTCACGTTGAAGGGAAACAATAAAATAATAAAATATATATAAAACAATAAAAAATTATCACGACGTTTCGACCATAACACAAACGGTCGTCATCAGGTGTGTCATGTTTTATATATATTATTGTTTCCCTTCAACGTGACTTTACCGAAAGAGCTAATAATATGAATTACTGCAGTCACGAAAGCTTTAAATCAAAATATAAATGTGTCGTTAAACCCGCCACCACCCAACACAGCCAACTAGTAAGGGTTGTCACGTAAACAGAACGTGGCCAATTCGTCACTAGTACAGCACACCGCTGTGTTGGAGAGCCAAGCCACAACATTTACAATCTGAGTACGACGTTTTGCCGGTAATTACAACCAGCTTCATCAGGCGACAGCCAGATTTGTGGAGAGGTCCTCCTGTTTTGTTTCTTAAATATCGTTTGCAGGAGCCACAAGCCCATGACACACACCCTTACTCTCTCTCCGAACATTTTAGGAACTCTCCCGACAATCCTCTCAGCCCTCGCTACTCGTTTCCCGTCAAATATATCTCCTTTCAGGTTCCCTCCCTTCCCCCGTCTCCTTTTTTCTTAGCCTCGTTACTGCCGCCTTTCTTTAATTCTCTTAGGCGGAGACGAGTACAGGCGGTATCCGATTTACGATGGTCTGATTAACGAGCACAATGAAAGCTCAGCACATGTGACTGCTCACTTTGGATTACAGGACGCCTAAATAGCAACTGCCTCTTTAGACGCTGTACACAATTGTTTGGCAGCTGCTTTTCGGGTGAAAACGAGGCGTGTGTGTGTGTATATATACAGTCGCATTGACAGATGTTGATGTTTGTTTCAACGTGAAGGGACTTTAGACATGTTGTTTGTTCATATTCTTAGTTTTTTCGGTAAAGTCACGTTGAAGAGAAACAACAAAACAATAAAATATATATAAAACAATAAAAAATTCTCACGACGTTTCGACCATAACTCAAACGGTCATCTTCATGACCGTTTGAGTTATTTTTGAGTTATTTGAGTTTGAGTTATGGTCGAAACGTCGTGAGAATTTTTTATTGTTTTATATATATTTTATTATTTTGTTGTTTCTCTTCAACGTGACTTTACCGAAAAAACTAAGAATATGAATTACTGCAGTCACAAAAGCTTTAAATCAAAATGTTGTTTGTTGTTTTTTGTTTTACCCAAGAAAGCGTCTCTTAGTCTATAAGACCCTGCTTGAAGTTCTGAAGCCACAGCAGCGAAGCCGCTCTGCCGGCGCTGCTTTCTCCTCACAACCCCCCACATGAACAGGCACACACACACCCCCTCCCCCCCAACGCAGGACCTCAGGGGGGAAGTCACCTGGCCTCCAGGTTTTCACCCAGGAACATTCTCCACGGTTTCCTGGGGCCAGGGAATTGGCCGAGGCTTCCCCGAGGTTAAATGGCACTGTGGCGCAAGAGCTGGGAAGTGTGGTGACCGCATCTACGCCTCTATTTAAGGAACGAAACGGGAGGACTGCTCCACAAATCTGGCTGTCGCCTGATGAAGCTAGTTGTAATTACCGGCGAAACGTCGTACTCAGATTGTAAATGTTGTGGCTTGGCTCTCCAACACAACCGGTGTTGCTGTACTAGTGACGAATTGGCCACGTTCTGTTTACGTTACAACCCTTACTAGTTGGCTGTGTCGGGTGGTGGCGGGCTTAACAACACATTTATAGATTTAAGCGATCTAAACCAAAAAATAAAATCTCTTGTGGTTCATCTGTGGTGAGTGGATGAGAGGGTGTGTGAGCAGGTGGATAAGTGAGTTGATAGTTTCACCAGTGTCTTCAAGGAGGAATGTCAAAGCCAGGAGGCTAATGATGATGCATATATTCTCGGGAGGGTCCTCTTAAAGTATCAATGTCCTCAATATGTTGCATATGGGCGGGAACATTATTTGGAGTACTCGGGAGAAAACCCAAATGGATCAGACACTTATTTTGTGTTCTGCCTTTGATTGGCTACCTCTCATAGCCCTGCAGGTAGGGTGTTTCACGCACATCGTCATCCCCGCTCTCATCCTTGCATGATCAACCAACCCTACCCAACCTCCAAGTCATTGGTTTTGCAAAAGTGCATTGCCTGTACGCCAGGTAATACACGTGTATGGAAAAGAGGCGGGCTGGATGAAGTACAGAATTGCGTTCAATACTCACGTATCGTGGGGTGTGTGAATGTGTCCTCGCATTCCCCAAGTTGCACGTACGCCACCAGCACGAGCACCAGCTTCATTGTCCTGAAACACAAAACGGCACAAATCAGCCTGCGTGACGGGCACAGGCAGCTTCGACCTGGGGCAAGGGGGCACTCGACCTGTAGGTAGGTGAACATTTCCCACTCGATATATCCTGGATCGCTGTGCGGCTGGCTGGCTTGGAGTATGGATTATCGGTGTAAGTCACTGCATGCCGCGACGGTACAATATACGTATATCCCTAATCATAATGCTAATTTTATGCAATACTACCATATATTCTTATAATCCTATGAACAGGTTTATAAACAGGTGCATGGCCCCACGAAATAAGGTGAGATCGATGTGGCATTAGACTCACAGATCCAATTCACCCAAATTCTCTGACACGATAACCGCAAGTTATCACTGGAGGAGCATTCAGTATCAAACACATAAACCGTTGCTCACGAAGTCGCTGTCAATTCTCAGTCCAAGTGCAGTAGTTACTGATTTAACGCTCAGATAATAGCATACAAACGTAAGGTCTTTTCGTTACCTTACAAAAAAAAACAACGCACTTTCATATCAAGAATGTTCTACTACAATCAGAAGGTTACGAGTTCAAATCCAGGTCGGGGTTTGACACAGCCCATCATCCTTCCTCGGTCGATAAAACGAGTTCCACTTTGTGGGAAGTCAGTGGCGTATGTCCTAATACAGACTTTTGCCCTGTGCCATGTGAATGATGGAATTTTCACTGCTGGCTCAGGGAAAACGACGTAAGTGCCACCATCCCATTGTGAGTTCAAGCAATGCGGCACTCGGGTATTTAAACGTCGAGCACGCTACGAGAGATGCCACATTCGTGTTTCAGATATACAAGCCTTGCTACTGCTGCTTGGGCATATGTCACGATCTACAGATGGAGACGTCGGCATGTGAATGTATCTTCATCCATATGACTAAAATCCGAATACCCGTTTCGTTTCATTATTGATTGTTGGCTAAGATCGCATAACTGAAACGTGTGTCCTAAACTCTCCTCCACCTGAAGTTGTCACGTGAAAAAAAAATGCGTCAATGTATCGCTGATTCAGCACCACCAGTAATGTTGGAGAGCAATCCACACAAACATTTAACTATTGGGTACAGACGTGTCACGAGTAGTTACACCCGGCATCGTCAGGCAGTTACCAGAAATCTCACATTAAGCATATCGATCGCGAAAACCTGAGCATTACATTTACCTGTGTTGTTGTGTTATAGTACAACATTGGAGTACACTTACTTGGTGGTCCGTCAATCCTGCAGTCTGCTGACTGGGTGTCTCTGGGTTTTGTTCCAACCTTTTTATTCTCACCCTCAATTAAATAACGCTTCCAAACGGTGTTTGTGTTTGGACAATAGAATATCTTTTCTCATTGTTCTGCCATTGTTCTCTCACGGAAAAAAACTTTACGTAATTACGTCCTTCCTAAAAGACATTTGCTGGGTGTTTGGTAACATGCTCACAGCTGCGCGTATACATCGAGGTGTAATAGTACAAGGTAAACATTCACTGAATATAACCTTTCATTTAAAAACAGCTGCGTGTGTGACCACCGTTACATTTCATGTTTTCCAATGTATGGCCGTCCCTCGCATAACGCGTGGATGTGTTCCTGAAAAACAGCGCACAAATCGAATCGCGTTGTCTGAAGCCTATTCTCCCACAAACATACACGTTACCGAAGAAAATTAGGAATCATTTCATAATTTTAGCCCTGGATTTCCAAAATACAGGCGTGTCTCGCGTCACGAGCATTCCTACTACGAGAATTCGCAATAACGAGCAATTTGAAATGAGACCAATTGGTTCGGGAAGCGAGCTAAATGCTCGCTTATTGAGCAGAGACCGATCTTTAAATTTTGATTTAAAGCTTTCGTGACTGCAGTAATTCATATTCTTAGCTCTTTCGGTAAAGTCACGTTGAAGGGAAACAATAAAATAATAAAATATATATGAAACAATAAAACATTCTCACGACGTTTCGACCACAACACAAACGGTCGTCATCAGGTGTGTCGGCCTGCACAAATTCATCCATTTTTTAAACGGTGCATTTATTTATCTACAAAAAAACCGTCAGCGCCACGCGCAGCGATTTGGCAGTTTTTTGGCAGTCCTTCTAAATAAACTGCCAAATCGCTGCGCGTGGCGCTGACGGTTTTTTGTAGATAAATAAATACACCGTTTAATAATGGATGAATTTGTGCAGGCCGACACACCTGATGACGACCGTTTGTGTTGTGGTCGAAACGTCGTGAGAATTTTTTATTGTTTTATAAATATTTTATTATTTTATTGTTTCCCTTCAACGTGACTTTACCGAAAGAGCTAAGAATCAGAGACCGATCAATACATCTGTGTCCGGTGGCGGCAGGGTGCGCACGGTGGCCCGCAGCTGTTTACCAGCTGTGCTGTGCTGCATGCCCTGCGTTTTTTGTGGTGTGGGAGAGGGGGGGGGCCTCGTGGTGGCACTGTTTAAAGGAGGGTGGCGGTAGTGGAGCGGTGGTGTGACGGTCAGCTCGCTGCACTACGAACCGGGCGACCAGAATCCGATTCCTGATCAAGGCCAACACCAGTGAAGATTATCTGGACCGCTCCTGGGCCTCTTCCTAGGTCGACTCAGCCTCAAATGAGTAAGTGGTGTGGTGTGTAAACATCGCTATTAGGGAGACAAAAGGCTGCCGGGTGTGGTGCTGGCCACCCACCCCCTTGATTGCCGTGCCGGCCTTCATCAGGTGCTTGTCCACAGCACTTGACTCAACAGTCTGGTAAGGCTACACATTGCATTGCGGTTCTTCACGTGTGGCGTTATGTTTTGTTTTATTACTTTATTTTGAAGTCATCATTTGTATTTCTCACGTTAAAAAGGTTAAGAGTGGAAAATGTCGGGGCTGAAACGTAACTCAGCGTTTAACACGGGAGCCAGTGGAAAAACGATTACCCTTTAAACGATGACCCTTTAAATGAGTTTTCGCTTTCCGAGCAATGCTTTGCGGAACGTATCCCGCTCGTTAAGCGAGACGCTCCTGTCCGTATAAATGTAATGCTTAATAATATTAACATTACAATCATTTCTAGATATGAAGCTTTCGTGACTGCAAGGATCCATACTCTTTGGTTCTATTCGGTAAAGTCACGTAGGTAAAAAATAAAATAACAAAAATCACGACGTTTCGGCCACAACACAAGTGGCCTTCATCAGGTGAAGGGACCGTGTTGTCATGAGGACACTCCTCATCAGGTGAAGACACTCCTCATGACAGCACGGTCCCTTCACCTGATGAAGGCCACTTGTGTTGTGGCCGAAACGTCGTGATTTTTGTTATTTAATTTGTTACCTACGTGACTTTACCGAATAGAACCAAAGAGTATTACAATCGTTACTTAATAAGGTGTTTAATAACAAATAAAGCTTTAAAACGATTACTATTTCTAAAGATTACTTAATAAGGTGGCTACGCTCAGCCCGTGTCAACACTGAGCGCTGCCATCAATGCGGTGACTCCATCAAACGTCGTGATTTAATTTGATTGTTTATATTTTTTTATTCTTTTTTTCACCGACGTGACTTTTCCGAAAGAACCAAAGAGTATGGGTCCTTGCAGTCACGAAAACTTCAAATCTAGAATGACTCTATCAGATTTATATTTTAGTAGCTTAACCTAGGAAATACATTTTTTTAAATTAAAAAATGTGATCATTGAAATTGTTTTTCTTATTTATTTAGCGCGCAACTGTGAAACGCATAGCGTAAGTGTGAAGTACGAACAGTCATCGACTTACGAACACAATTCGTTCCTGAGACCCGTTCGTAAGTCAATCGGTTCCTAAGTCGGAAGAAAATCATGCACTGTATTCAAATAATCATACAGTCAGTGTTATGAAATGTTACGAGCATTGCTAAACCCATAAGAAGAAACATTGCACATTTCCATGTAACACCATAAAAATATAGTAAATAAAGCATAAAATAAACAAATAGGGGAAAAAAAATATCTGTTTAATTTTCATTTACCTTAAGTCCTGATGCTGGCTTGCTTGTTGGAAGGGGTGCAATGAGTAATCAGAATTTCACACACACACACACACAGAACATGTGCACGTGCACACAAAGACACACACACTAATGACAAAGATCCCCCCGTATAAAATAGAACCTTAACATATACTATTGGGGCAAGTGCTGTTAGCGAGCAGCGCCTATGAATACCGGTACGGCATGTGAGTGGGGGTGAGCGGCCAGCGCCACACCCGGCCACCTTTGTCTCCCCCAGTAGCGATGTTTACACACCACACCAGGTACTCATTTGAGGCTTGGTCGACCTAGGGTAGGCCCAGGACAAGTTCAGAAAATCGTCACTGGTGTTGGCCGTGAGCGGGAATCGAACCCGGATCGCCAGGTTCGTAGTGCAGCGCACTAACTGCTACACCACCGCTCCCCACATGCACACATACAAACACAGGTGGATAGATACGGGTAGATAGCCAGGTCGATCGGTAGGTGTGTATGCAGGTAGGGAAGTATGTGTGTTGGTGGGTAAACAACCGCCATTCGTCACTAAGTGGCGGTGACGTCACCACGACGCTTGTGCCAGGCTATGTGCACGTTGAGGCCACGTGAAGTGTCGAACGCCCGCTGGCAGGAGGTCACGGGGCAGACCCAGGTGCCACGGGTCGACTGACTGAGATGACTATGTGATGCACCACCTGTACCCCCGACTGTGCCAACTTGCTATGCTTTAGCCACCCGGCGCTCTGCTCGTTGTTGTGAGCGCCGCTCCTCTGCCCTCCATTGTTGTTGGAGGGCGACTGCCTCCAACTGCCCAATAGCGTCCTTCACGAGCCTCCTCCACAGAGGCCGATCTTGACACCGCTTGTACCAGTCATCGGCAAGTCCACTCAGCTCCACGTCCTCCTGTACCACATCACTCCATCTCTTCTCTAGTCCGTGCCGCGCCCGTTTAGCTCCCTCAATCCGGCCAAACAAAAGCTGTTTAGGCATGTGGTGGCTGGGCATGCGGGCTACATGACCCAGCCAACGAAGCCTTACCCGCCGGAGCTCACAGATGGGACTTTGTCCAGATCTTTCATGGACTTGTGAGCTTCTCAGACCATCCAGCCTGGTTAAACCCAGGATGGACCATAGGCAGGACAGCCTAAATGTTTCTAATTGGCGAAGATGTTCCATTAGGGTGGTCCACGTTTCGCAAGCGTAGAGGAGGGAGGGAATGACCTTGGCTGAGAAGGCCTGAAGCTTCGTGCGGAGCGACAGACCCGGATGCTTCCACACAGCGTTGCGCAATCGATGAAAAGATAATGCGTTCGACTGATTCGGAGTAGGACCTCTGCTGTTAAACTGGAGCCGGTTATGAGCACACTGCCCAGGCATGGGAAACTCTCCACTCTCTCCACAACTGCCCCATCACCAATTGGGAGTTGTGGGGGTGGAATGTCCGATGGCACAAAATACCCAGGCAGGTGCTTAGTTTTGGTGGGGCTGATGGTAAGGCCACACCTCTTAGTGGCAAGCTCCAGGTTCAGCAGCAGTGCCTCCAACTCCTCCTCTGAGTGAGCAGCAATTACCAGATCATCGGCATACATATGTAATGACATGGTGACACCTGCTGGCCGGGAAAGGGAATCACGGATACGGGCACGGTTAAAGTAACAACCAATCAGAGAAGGAGAGGTATCTGGGGCAAAGGTAACGGGTGGGGTTAGTCGAGATACTCCGGGAACCTGCTCGAAGGTTCCACGAGAGGGCGTGGCCGGAGGCGGGGCTTAGCCACGCCTGGGGGGATATAAGGGGGAGCGGACCCGGGGCTCGGAGTCTTGGGTCCTGGCTGTGTCGCTGCTCGCCGACATCTCTCTCCGTTGTTCGGCCACGTGGAAGATCTCCTGCGGGGTTTCCATCACCATCATCAACACGCCACCAGCCAGCGGCGTAGCCGAGTGAGGGCGGTGGGACCACGCCGAGTGATCGGCTGTGCGTGTAGCCAGTAGAGACGTTAATATCTAAGTGATGTACTCAGAGTGAGGAGGAGAATAAGTGTTGGCCTGTGTTGTACCCAGTGTGAGAAATAAAAGAAGTACCCTCTACACGACGTGTCGCGGAAGTTGCTCATTACACATAACATGGTTGACCAATAGGGAGCCATCCCTTGACCGCACCCAGGCATCGATCAGCCTTCATTGTATCTGTACCAGATGTAAATTCCTCAGGTACAGCTATTGAAGGCTTCACGAACTACGTGGTCGAAATAGATGTAAAAAAATGTGGGAGCCAGAGGACATCCCTTTCGCACCCCAAGGTGAACAGGGAATGGTTCCGACTCCCGGCCA